TAACAACAACAACAATAATAATAATAATAATAATAATAGTAATAATAATAATAATTATTATTATATTTATTACAATAATAATATAATATAATAACAATAATAATAACAATAACAATTATAATAATAACTATAACAATAACAACAACAACAATAATAGTAATAATAATAACAATAACAATAACAATCATAATAACAACAACAATAATAACAATAGCAATAATAATTATTATTATAATAATTATAATTATTACAATACTATCCATAATAACAATAACAATAATAATAATAACACTAATAATAACACTAATAATAATAGTAATAACAACAACAACAATAATAATAACAATAACAATAATAATAATAATTATTATTATTATTATAACATGAATACAGTCAACAAAGTGTTTTTGTGGACATTTTTACGTTAACACTTCCTCCCTCTGAGCCAAACCTAAACGGCTACAACTCCCTTTTAACTGGTATAATTTCAAAGTGCTTCACAGATGCAAACACAGTAAATCAAACAAAAAATGTAGATAATTGTTTCAGATTTAACAAACAGATAAAAGACCTAGTCCAAAGGGTAGTTGTGCAGCATAGTGATTAAAAGCAGCTTCACCCTGTTTGGTTCTGACCCGTTTCTACCAGCTGACTGTTTGATCAGAATCTGAGAGCCCTGCTGCCTGTAGATACAGGAAGGAGATCTTAAAAGTACTTTGGTCCCATGCCATTGAGAAGTTTATAGACCAGTAGAAGCACTTTGAAGTTGATTCTGTTGTTTACTGGTAACCATGATGTAAGAACAGGGGTGATGGGCTCGGTTCTCCAGGTTAGGGGTAGCAGCAGACATCTGGATAAGCTGCGGTTGTTTTACAACTGTTTTGGGGAGACCAGTTAGAAGATCATTGCACTGCTGGAGATGAACACATGAATTCATTTCCCTAGGCCTTGTTTTGACATGAAACCTCTGACTCTTGCTAAATGATGGAGATGATAAAACGCTGATCTAGTTATAGCTTCAATGTAACCAGTGATTCTCAGGTCTGAATCAGTGGTAACACCAAGATTTCTAACCTGTCCTTGTCGTTATTCCTTTGGAGCTAAGTTGAGATATAACTTCCATCCTATCCTTCTGATTTCCAAAGACAATAACTTCAGTCTTGTCTTTGTTTAACTGAAGGAAACTTGATTGCATCCAGTCATTAACGTGCTCTAGGCACCGACAGAGTGAGTCTAGGAGACCAGATTCATTAGGCGATAGAGCTAGGTAGACTTGGGTGTCATCTGCATAACTATGATAAGCGATGTTGTTATTATTTATGAGCTGGCCCAGTGGGAGCATGTAGAGATTGAAAAGCAGTGGTCCAATTATCGAGCCTTGATGGACCCCACATGTCAGGGGATTTACTTTGATTTGTGTTCACCAATGGAAACAACATACTTCCTGTCTGCGAGGTATGATTGGAACCAACTACAGACTGTGCCTGAAAGTCCCACCCAGTTCATTCGTCTATCAAAAGGATGTTGTGGTCCAGTATCAAACGCTGCACTGAGATCGAGCCTCACTAAAACAGATGTTTTGCCTGGATCTGTATTATTATGGCTACAGATTATTACTTTCATCAACGCAGTCTCTGAGTGTTGTCTAAAGCCTGACTGAAAGCCATCCAGGTTGTTCAGCTGGGTCATAACTGCTTTTTCAGTAACATTCCCAAGGAAAGGTCAAAGGTATGAAAGCATGAAATATTAAATATAATAGGAAATTGAGAAAACAACAATATTTCATTAATGTTGATAAAACTACAATCTCTTTTTACGATTTAATTCCATAAGAGTAATAAAGAAATAAAACCAGCCCTCGCCACCTGGGGGCAGTGAGCTCGTTTCTGATCAAGGTACTGATCCTGATGCTCCGTCTGGTTGTCTGACGGGACCGTATATATGTCGATGGATGGGACGGATATGGATTCATTTTAAGCAGTTCATGAAGGAATTCTGGTCTCTGAGGAGGATTCTGAAAAACATCAGTTCAGCCCAGAAACACTAATCATACAGGAGATTTCCAGCACCCTTCTGGGAGTGATTGTTCCGTAGGTTGATGATAACATCCAGCAGTTTGAATGTTTTCATAAATTAACTCATTTTTGTCATAAACGAGGTTCCTGACAGTCAAAGCAAAGCTCTGACTGGTGAGTTTTCTTTTTCTGAGGTGTCACAAATGTTAGAGTCTGTATTTGACTCTTTCTGGTGAAACTGGCTTCTAACAGTCTGAATCAGCTCTGGAGTGACTCAGCTTCCATACTCACACGCGGCTTCCTGTCCTCACGCTGTGATGGATCGGGGACCCGTCTCAGGTATTATCTGCCTGAGTACCTCCATCCTCCTGCCGGGTCACAGAGGACTGTCCCTGTCTGACCTGCTGCAGCTGATGGAGCTCTGTTTACCTTACAGGTCTATTCTGGTACAGACTGGTTTTAATGGACTGTGTTGTCTGTTTCAGCTGTGGTCAGCGCCATCCCAGTGCCGGCCCTGGACTCGTCTCAGTATCCTGGGATTCTCCCATCACCTTCCTGTGGTTTCACACACAACAAGTTCAGCCTGAGACCCATGCAGTTCCCCAGCCTGACGGTGGACCGAGGATACACCCCAGGTCAGCATCAGAGGCTTTTACTGCCAGATGTGCGAGAATCACAACATTAAAGAGCAAGTCACCCCCTGCCAGATTTTTACTCAACTCCCACTTCCTGTTTGAAAAATGCAACAAATGCTGTTGCCTAGCAGACCAAGAGGGCGGAGCCACTAACAAATACACACACTCACGATATTGTGACATCATAATGTACCATCTAACATCATAGTATACCTCTTAGCCAATAGCGATGGCAGATTTAAATTCAAATGCAGTGCAGAGTTTTTGCCTGACGACGGTGCATCGCTGACAGTTTTAGGCAGATTATTTAAATTTTAACTAAGATTAACTAAAGTGCCAAATTATTGACTGAACGTGTCTACAGAGCGATTAGACACTTATTTATATAGTTTATCAACAAAAAAAAGTTGATTTGAGGGTGACTTGCTCTTTAAGAAATCACTGCGGTACTTGGTGCAACAAAGGACGGTAAAAATAAGAGATTAGAAAAAATAGGAAGTAAGAATATGATCATGATAAAATAATAATATGACTGCAATACTGTATGACTGTGACTGGAACCAGGCGACTGCAGTGGGCAGCCCGAGTATTATCGTTCATGAGTCCGACAGCAGAGGGGAAGAAACTGTTCTTGTGGCGAGAGGTTCTGGTCCGAACGGATCCGAGCCTCCTGCCAGATGGGAGCAAGTCAAAAAGACTGTGTCCAGGGTGAGACGGGTCAGCTGTGATCTGACCTGCACGCCTCAATGACCGGGAGGTGTACAGGTCCTGTATGGAGGAGAGTTAGCAGCCAATGACCTTCTCAGCAGAGCGTCCAACGTGCTGCAGCTTCTTCTTGTCCCTGATGGTGGCTCCAGCATACCACACAGTGATGGAAGAGGTGAGGATGGACTGGATGACTGCGGTGTAGAACCGCCTCATCGACTGTGCTGATAGGTTGAGTTTCTTCAGCTGCCTCAGCAGGTTCATCCTCTGCTGGGCCTTTTTATGACGGAGGTGATGGTGGGGTCAGACCCACAGCCTGAACCTGAGGTTTGGTAATCAGTAGGGATGCACCGATACCTCTTTTTTCCAAACCGATACAATACCGATACTTGGATCTGAGTACTCGCCGATGCCGATTACCGATACCGATACTTCCACCACACAAAACAATGCAATGATTTGGAAAACAGATTTTATTTTCTTCTCTGCTTTCAACAGGAAAAGACTGAGGTAGATAAAAGTAAAATATATGAATGGAAATCATCACAAAACTAAAATATTAGGTGAACAGAAATGACAAGTTACAGTGAAGCCATTTTCAAGCAACTGCATTGGTATCGGTTCCTGGTATCGGTTAACTTTTACCGATACGATACTGGTATTGGTATCAGCACCGATACCGATATCAGTATCGGTATCAGTGCATCCCTAGTAATCAGCCAGGATCAACCTGTACAATTAATTTATTTATCAAAGTACATCATTTATTTACTAATTATTAGTACAAAAGTGTCTTCAAAATCATTGAAAATTTGTATTTAATCCTAAATAACAGATAGGTCTGTCACCCCCCCCCCCCCCCCCCCCCCCTCCTCCCCCAACCAAACAACCGGACACATGCTGTGTGTGTATATTTGTATGTGTGTGAGTGTGTGTGTGTGCATGCGGTTTGGGTTAGTGGTCCAGCATTTATACTCCTTTGTCTCTGTTTGCGGTCCTCGATCCACGTTTCCTAATCTCAGTCACTTTTTTGATCCACCTTTTGAATTTCTGCTGCTCTGTGTTTACGACCCGCGTGCTGTCCCCGTCCGTTATACAGTCCAAAACCAGACTGACCTGCGTGTTGTCCCCGTCCATTATACAGTCCAAAACCAGACTGACTCGCGTGCTGTCCCCGTCCATTATACAGTCCAAAACCAGACTGACCCGCGTGCTGTCCCCGTCAATTATACGGTCCAAAACCAGACTGACCTGCGTGCTGTTCCCGTCCATTATACGGTCCAAAACCAGACTGACCTGCGTGCTGTCCCCGTCCGTTATACAGTCCAAAACCAGAACGACCCGTGTGCTGTCCCCGTCCGTTATACAGTCCAAAACCAGAACGACCCGCCTGCTGTCCCCGTCCGTTATACAGTCCAAAACCAGAACGACCCGCCTGCTGTCCCCGTCCGTTATACAGTCCAAAACCAGAACTACCCGCCTGCTGTCCCCGTCCGTTATACAGTCCAAAACCAGAACGACCCGCGTGCTGTCCCCGTCCATTATACAGTCCAAAACCAGAACGACCCGCGTGCTGTCCCCGTCCGTTATACAGTCCAAAACCAGAACGAACCGCATGCTGTCCCCGTCCGTTATACAGTCCAAAACCAGAAATACCCGCGTGCTGTCCCCGTCCGTTATACAGTCCAAAACCAGAACGACCCTCGTGCTGTCCCCGTCCATTATACAGTCCAAAACCAGAACGACCCGCGTGCTGTCCCCGTCCATTATACAGTTCAAAACCAGAACGACCCGCGTGCTGTCCCCGTCCGTTATACAGTCCAAAACCAGAACGACCCGCGTGCTGTCCCTGTCCGTTATACAGTCCAAAACCAGAACGACCCGTGTGCTGTCCCCGTCCGTTATACAGTCCAAAACCAGAACGACCCGCGTGCTGTCCCCGTCCGTTATACAGTCCAAAACCAAAAATACCCACGTGCTGTCCCCGTCCATTATACAGTCCAAAACCAGAACGACCCGCGTGCTGTTCCCGTCCGTTATACAGTCCAAAACCAGAACGACCCGTGTGCTGTCCCCGTCCGTTATACAGTCCAAAACCAGAACGACCCGCGTGCTGTCCCCGTCCATTATACAGTCCAAAACCAGAACGACCCGCCTGCTGTCCCCGTCCGTTATACAGTCCAAAACCAGAACTACCCGCCTGCTGTCCCCGTCACTTATACAGTCCAAAACCAGAATGACCCGCGTGCTGTCCCCGTCCGTTATACAGTCCAAAACCAGAACGACCCGCGTGCTGTTCCCGTCCGTTATACAGTCCAAAACCAGAACGACCCGCGTGCTGTCCCCGTCCGTTATACAGTCCAAAACCAGAACGACCCGCCTGCTGTCCCCGTCCGTTATACAGTCCAAAACCAGAACGACCCGCCTGCTGTCCCCGTCCCTTATACAGTCCAAAACCAGAACGACCCGCGTGCTGTCCCCGTCCGTTATACAGTCCAAAACCAGAACGACCCGCGTGCTGTCCCCGTCCGTTATACAGTCCAAAACCAGAATGACCCGCGTGCTGTCCCCGTCCGTTATACAGTCCAAAACCAGAACGACCCGCCTGCTGTCCCCGTCCGTTATACAGTCCAAAACCAGAACGACCCGCCTGCTGTCCCCGTCCGTTATACAGTCCAAAACCAGAACGACCCGCGTGCTGTCCCCGTCCGTTATACAGTCCAAAACCAAAACGACCCGTGTTTTGTCCCCGTCCGTTATACAGTCCAAAACCAGAACGACCCGCGTGCTGTCCCCGTCCATTATACAGTCCAAAACCAGAACGACCCGCGTGCTGTCCCCGTCCGTTATACAGTCCAAAACCAAAAATACCCACGTGCTGTCCCCGTCCATTATACAGTCCAAAACCAGAACGACCCGCGTGCTGTCCCCGTCCGTTATACAGTCCAAAACCAAAACGACCCGTGTGCTGTCCCCGTCCGTTATACAGTCCAAAACCAGAACGACCCGCGTGCTGTCCCCGTCCATTATACAGTCCAAAACCAGAACGACCCGCCTGCTGTCCCCGTCCGTTATACAGTCCAAAACCAAAAATACCGACGTGCTGTCCCCGTCCATTATACAGTCCAAAACCAGAACGACCCTCGTGCTGTCCCCGTCCATTATACAGTCCAAAACCAGAACGACCCGCCTGCTGTCCCCGTCCGTTATACAGTCCAAAACCAGAACGACCCGCGTGCTGTCCCCGTCCGTTATACAGTCCAAAACCAGAACGACCCGCGTGCTGTCCCCGTCCGTTATACAGTCCAAAACCAGAACGACCCGCGTGCTGTCCCCGTCCGTTATACAGTCCAAAACCAGAACGACCCGCGTGCTGTCCCCGTCCGTTATACAGTCCAAAACCAGAACGACCCGCGTGCTGTCCCCGTCCGTTATACAGTCCAAAACCAGAACGACCCGCGTGCTGTCCCCATCCGTTATACAGTCCAAAACCAGAACGACCCGCGTGCTGTCCCCGTCCGTTATACAGTCCAAAACCAGAACGACCCGCGTGCTGTCCCAGTCCATTATACAGTCCAAAACCAGAACGACCCGCGTGCTGTCCCAGTCCATTATACAGTCCAAAACCAGAACGACCCGCGTGCTGTCCCCGTCGTTATACAGTCCAAAACCAGAAATACCCACGTGCTGTCCCCGTCCGTTATACAGTCCAAAACCAGAAATACCCGCGTGCTGTCCCCGTCCGTTATTTAGTCCCAAACCAGAACGACCCTCGTGCTGTCCCCGTCCATTATACAGTCCAAAACCAGAACGACCCGCGTGCTGTCCCCGTCCATTATACAGTCCAAAACCAGAACGACCCGCGTGCTGTCCCCGTCCATTATACAGTCCAAAACCAGAACGACCCGCGTGCTGTCCCCGTCCATTATACAGTCCCAAACCAGAATGACCCTCGTGCTGTCCCCGTCCATTATACAGTCCAAAACCAGAACGACCCGCGTGCTGTCCCCGTCCATTATACAGTCCAAAACCAGAACGACCCGCGTGCTGTCCCCGTCCATTATACAGTCCAAAACCAGAACGACCCGCGTGCTGTCCCCGTCCGTTATACAGTCCAAAACCAGAACGACCCGCGTGCTGTCCCCGTCCGTTATACAGTCCAAAACCAGAACGACCCTCGTGCTGACCCCGTCCGTTATACAGTCCAAAACCAAAACGACCCGTGTGCTGTCCCCGTCCGTTATACAGTCCAAAACCAGAACGGCCCGCGTGCTGTCCCCGTCCATTATACAGTC